TTCATCCTTCAAGGCGTACCATTCACTGCTGAAATACTAAACAACCTGCTTCCATGGCCGAGATACAGGGCGCCCATATTATAAGGTAAGGTTATAAAACCACCATTTAAGATCATTTTAGTGAAAGTTTCATGTTCCTATCTCATAGAATTTAAGAACAATGATGAATAAATAATTTTCGAGCAAAATTTAAATGGCCGGCTGAATATATTACCGCAGGAGCCGCGGCCGCGGAATTTAAATGACCACGTCAAAGGGCTAAAAGTGTCCCATTAAACAAAATACAAACTGAACAAGTTGCATATAACACAATTACAACAAAACACTCACATTGTACAGGAGGGTCGTGCTGCGAGGTGAATAGAACTGGACATGACCAGTCCTTCCATTCAACACCATTGCCTTGGTGCGTGGATCCACAGTAATCCCCGCTGGGAACAGTGGTAAGCCATGCTTGGCTTCAACCTGCCATGTGAAGTGCTGGATCATGCTGATCAGTTTCAGCTGCGGATCAAGAATCTGAATACCTAACAAAGAGAAGATCAACTGTCAGTATTATGCTGAGGTCTTCTACATTATGATGCTGTGCAATTGTAGGCGCACACCAACATTTTGGGAGAATGTTCTGCCACCATGTCAAAAAATCCTGAGGATGGTGGCATATCTTACTTTTCTCCTTCTCCTCTGTCTCTTCCTAGCATAATTTCTGTTTTATACAGGTCACTATAATAACAGTCTTCAATCTCTTCTTTCTTCCAAATCCACGCCCCATATACCGTATTTACGCATGTATAGGCCACGTGCGTGTATAGGCCCGCAGCACAATTTTCAGACAGAAATTATAGAAAATATAATTTTCTTGGATTATTATTTCAGGAGTAGAACATCCTGTATTACTAATTATGAATATAATTTTTTTTAAATGAAGTGTGATTTCGAATATTTCGAATATAAGCCGCACCCCAGTTTTCCTCTTGAATTTTTGGCAAAAAATGTGCGGCCTATACATGCGTAAACACGGTATAGTCACTAAAATTGTGACAGTATCTTAGTAAAAAAACAAGCTGCCTTCCCAGAACATTCCAATTATAAAATCTAGGAACTATAGTAAATGAACACATCACTCTTACCATTGTCGCTGGTAGATACAGCCAAGTATTTATTGTCTGGGCCCATCGACAGATGACAAATTGGAGTAGGTAACCGCGGAAGAAACTTTCTATCCAAAGGTTTGTCCAGAGTCCACTTCACAAGCACACATTCTCCTGCTCCACTGTAGAAATGACTTCCTGGAGAGAAAAAAAATCTTAAAATTACTCATAAGTAATGTTACAAAATTCATGCTTCATTTATTTTTATTTTATGATGCTGTCAGTAACTCAGAACCAAACATGTCAGTCTAATGGTAACACTCTAGACTGGTATTCAGAAGATACTTGGCCTGAACCCTGGCTGGGACATCAGCTACCATGACTGAGGTTCTCCACTGTTTTCCTCAATCTTCCCAGGCACATGTCACAATATTACTCTTATTAAGTCATAACTGCTTGCTTCGAAATCCTTCCCAATTCCACAATCATCCTACTAACTGACACTATAAAATCTAAACAAAAACACTACAGAAAAGAATGTAACTCCCACTATATAGTGTCAAATTGTAGGGTGGTAAATGAATAATGAATTGGAAACATTATGAAGAGAAGTGGCTGTGGCCTAATTAGAGGTACCATCTGCAATTTGTCCGGAAGAGCTGAGGAAAACTATAAACCTCAGTCAGGGTAGATGATGTAAGATCTAAAGTTCTCACAATGGTAATTATGAACAGCTTTGTCTTCGGGGAGATAATGCCTTACAGTCCGTTGAAAGTTAACTGTTTTGGAAGAGAACATGTGACCCCCACCTTCTGGGTCAATGAACAGCCATACAAGAAACCAGAGTGAAGCAGGTAGCAAGCAGAGCTCTCCTGGAACTCTTCAGGACAGATGATGACCCATCAGAGATTACAGCTGCGCATCCTCTTTAAGGCCTATCAGGAATTACTGATAGTCTCTCTATAATATTCATAAAGCTGGGAGCTATCTGATGCTAAGAACAGATTACCATAACAGTGGACCAATATATAATGGGACAATGCATGTCACTCAGTATATTATAGATTTAAATAAAGTGCATGGCCAATAAACAATCATATATTGAATTTTCTGTCACTGTCAAACTGAAGTTATAGCTTTAATTTTATATGAGCAAATGTAAAAAGCTGTACAGTTTTCTTGCAGCAATATTATCCTTCCATATAGTCTTTAGTTTGAGGGATGTTATTGATTATGTCAGTTTTACTTCCAATCCAGATGACTTGAGGTTCTCACCATAGTGGTGATGGTGGCGGTCTTCTGAATTGTAACACTAAGTAATTTGGAGATAGTCTGACATTTTGGAGGGTATGTTCCTCTGAAACAATGGAATCTCTTTAAACAACACACTACAACAACTCAGAAAGCCACATTCTACAACTTACACACTTACTTCTAACGTAACTTTCGAACACATTCAAAAAAATCTGTTGTTCTTTGGCCCTAAGCACCTGACCACTCATACATTTTGTAAAGCCATCATTCCTAACAACACACACTTCATACACCACAACAAACCAAGCAAATGGGTCTAGCAGTAGTGTTCTAAAGTTACATTCAGGGAGTGCCCGAGGAACTGGGACACCAGATATTGTGACTGAGGTTTTTCATGGTCTTCCCAAATCCTTTAAAGAAATTTCTGGAATAATATCTACATGCAATTTTTATCTTCACAGTCAAAGACTAGGCCAAGCCAGAAACCAGTAAGGCATAAGTACTGAGAAGCTTACTGTCTACATCTTCTTGGTTGGCTGCTTGCTTGCTTAACCTATTTCCTGACCCTGAAGATGGAGGCAGTACATTCTTCTGAAATACTGGTTAACTTCTATTGGACTGTAATGTGCTACATCCCAGAAGACAGTGCGTAACAGCTGTGTAAACAGGAGACTGTACAACAGCTGTTGCTAGGGAAAAACTCTGTTTGCACACTGCTGACAGAACATGCAATAATGGAAGAGACGTTTTCTGTGCAGTCACTTCTGGGGCTATATAACAAGGACCATTAGTTCAGTGGGTCTCAAGGGGCCTGAAACCAAGACAAACTGATTGGCAGTAAACCGTCGGTTGTAAAGTAACTCAAGCTTTGACTCTGACTTTGAGTTGAGTCAGTTGAGAGTTATAGTTATGAAAAGTGAGAAGCTGGTAGCTGAGTCCAGGGACAGTTCAGGAACCTGGAGGAAGGGGAATATCCACAGTTGAAAGCCACTACCAAGCAATGGCTAGTGAAGACTGAGAAGATTTTATGTGTGCTGTAGTCACAGGGATCTTTGGAGTGTGTAACTCAGTGAAATTGTCATAGTTATCTGCAGTTAAATTCTCTAAGCATTAAATAAAATTGATTATCAATCCAAACCCTGTCTATAGTCACTTGAACACATGACAATTTGTTACCTGCTTGTGAGAAAGTTATGGCTTGGACAGGCAATGCATGCCAATGATACACAGCCCATGTTGGCTTTCCTGAAGTGAGCAGGTTCCACCAAATAAGAACGCGCCCTGTGTTGTCCCCTGTGGCAATGCAGCGTTCCTCTGGGTGACATGCCACACATGTGAACCATCGTCCTCCACCAATATACTGCCTGTAATATTCAGCTAAACTTAAACCACGATCAAAATATCACATTTCTAGCATAACTTCTTTTCTTTGTGTGCTATTTTATGATTCTTTCAATATCACAAGGTCATGGCCACACTGTGGTGCTATTCTGTTACTTACTTGGAACTGAGAAAAACTATCAAAAGAACTCAGTTATAAATGCAGATATGTCAACTAAGATTTGAACTGAGCACCTCAAAGATTCAAGTCTACAACATTATTGCTATACCAACTTGTTTGGTAATTTTTAACACAAGCAAAGGTGACGTGAAATGAAAAACTGTTAAGTGTAGGTAGCGTGACTGGGTTGATAAAACTGTGGGTTCCAGCCAGACATTTAGGAGCGAGCAAAGACACCTTCTTTAACCTCTTAAAATTAATACACATTACTACACCACATTTCAGGGTTTCACGGCGGTGAACAAACATATCACGGTGTTCTATGTTATGATACCATAGAGTCTTATAGATGTGAACAAAAGTATTGGACAAACATACTGACTCCATCTTCAGGGCAGAAATACCTAAACATGGAGGCAGTGATATCTGGAGTGTGTAATTCAGTGAGACTGTTATAGTTACTTGCAGCTGTGATCCATAAGTGGTCAATAAATCCAATTACCAATCCAAAGTCACTCTATAGTCACTGTAAGATGTGACAATATATATCTGACTACATGATGTCACATCCCAGGATGTTTACGACTGTGAGAACCTCAAATCTCATTATTAATTATTTTCTTGAGATCAGGATTTACGAAGTAAGAGAACTTTACATGGAGCATGTGTGAGGATGACAAACATAACCAGAAAACGGAACAAAAATAATTCTAATTATCAAACCTAACTGCCTTAAAGTTATGATGGATATCTGAGAACTGGATGTTAAGGAGAATATTTTCATTTAAGAGGAAGAGGCAACAAGAAGCTGGAGAAAAGTGTATAATGGAACCCTAAGAATTTGTAATCTTTGGTAAATATCATTAGGATGATCAAGTCAAGGAGAATGAGATGAAGAACATGTGAAAGAGAAGAGAACTGCATAAGAGATTTTTGTAGTAAAACCTGAAAGAAAGAGAACACTTTAAAGATCTATGCATGGGTGAGAGAATAATATTAAAAGAGTCCCCAAAAGATAGGATGGGAAAGTTTGGATTGGATTTATTTGGCTCATTTAGGGACCAATGGAAGGCCCTTGTGAACAGAGTAACGATCCTTCTTGTTCTATAAATTGTTAGGAACTTACTGATTGGCTGGGCAATTATAAATGTTTCAAAGTTGACAGAGCTGTAATTTTTCTTAAAAAAAAAGTTCCAAATTTTCAGCAAGAAAGAAGAGGTATTCCTGTAACACGCCTCGGAGGCCCATAGGGTTGTGAGACGTTGAGGTTCCCACATTTTCTAGACAATCAGCTCATAGATGGCGGTAAGGTTGTCATCCTTACGTGCTGGCCGCCCTTTACCCCCAAGAACATTCCAAGAATATTCCTGGTACTCATTTCTGTTAGAGGCTGAGTCGACCCCAGGGCCATAGTGCGGCTGGAAGAATTAGGTAAATTGAAAAAAATCCAAAGACCCACCAAAAAATATAATTAAAGCAAAAATCAATAAAAATTAAGTATTCAGTCAACAAAGTAATATAACCATCACATCTGATGTAGAGAAAATACTATATCTACCATGACATGTTCTCTGACATACTCACTGTCAATCCTGTCGACTAATGGATTTTAAATTTACTGTGTGGCAGTGACAGGCTGCTGACACTGTGTATATAATTGTCATTTTCTCCTATATATGTCATTCAAATGCAGAGAAACTTTGAAGTCAAAATTAATGAAGCTTCAGAGACTCAAAATATACAATGACTGCTGACTACTTTATACTTGTTCTCTCCCATTTCCATTTGGAATGTAAGCAGTATAAAATTCCGGTTCTTGTGGAGAAATGGCTCACACAACAGGTAATATTCCAGTACAGGTGATGGCAGTGAATGTGTTAAATATGTCCTTAATTAGATGTCATACACATATTACTCACTTGTCACATTCCTTCCATTCAACAGCATCAGAGAACTGTAACACATTTTTGTGAATCCCTGCTACATACTCTCCCCCTGGTCTACCTCCAAAGGCAACATTATGTGCATGATCATCCAATCTGTATTGCAAATAGATCAAATATTACAGTGGAACCCTCTTAAAGAAGTTTCCTTGGGGACAAAGCAATTCAAACTTACACAGGAAAATGTCTTAAAAGGATGAGTTCAAAAATGTATAATAAATTAATTTTATCACTATGGCCTATGTCCAACAACATTATAATGAAAAGGACAGAAATGAAACCAATGTACCACTGGGTTTTTTGTTCTTTAACTTTTAGAAAACAAATGTTCAGTGTGAGACAACCATATGACATCTGCCAATACAAGCCTACCGGAACTTCATGTTGAGTAGAAAACTTCCTGTCTGACTGCAGAATGTTGACAGCTGAGATACATCATTGTTAGCCTTCTTCCACACGACACATACAATGCACTTATTGGTTTCACTTTCTTGGGGATTTGGTGGCAGCAAATGGAAGCCAGTCACAGTAGCAGTTTGTGCATTATTAAATTTGAGACCCTGTTGGGAAAATAAATACAATTATGTATGATGTGAAGCTTCCACAGCAACTAAAGTTTATAAAATACTCTCGGCCTATCAGACATGTCAGTTGGTTAAAAATTACTGATATTTCAGCTACCATCTCTTCCCCCATCATCAGGGTCTGATGTCCCATTAGAGATGGTTCCTGAAACAATCATAATTTTTAACCAACTGACATGGCTGATAGCCCAAGAAGATTTTATCAAATATAATTATGTGTATACTGTAGTTCAGCTTATATAAATAATTATATTAATAAATTATTATCCTGAGAGTCATCTTTATTTTTCTTCTATGTTCCCTTCCGCAAAGGCAAGGCCTAGAATCCTTCCTTCACAATTCTCCTTGCTAACCATTCTTCACTGCATGGTATATATTCCTGTCAGAGTGACCAATCACCCACTTTGTGCATATATGATTACACTATTTTGTCAACAGACATCTATAGCTGTACTGTAAAGTTAATGAAGTTTTAAGATTATAGTCTTCTTGGATATGATGTGTCACTTGGTTCATACCAATGTTTCATGTCAGACAGGACTTAGCAAACTGCAAAGGATGGCCTACTTGGGAATTACAGGAGCAATGAGAACAGCTCAAACAGCTGCAATGGAAGTCCTCCTTTGACTCCCCCCGCTACACCAGTAAGAGGAAGTGGGGGCCATGGTAGGAAATTACAGACTACATTGTAATGGTCAATAGGAACCCAAATCCGAAGGTTTTGGACATGCATACAGGACTCAAGCCATGGTAAAAGAACCCATCCTACAGATGGGGTCTGATAAAATGATACAAAAACATTTTTACGATAAACCCTTCATGATCAGAATTCCTGATAGAAGTGAATGGAAAAGGGAGTTTGAACCAGACAGATAGGGGGACTAATCTGGTATACAGATGGTTCCATGACAAACAAAGGCACTGGAGCTGGGGTGTATTGTGATGGAACAAGGCAGAAACTTAGTTTCAGCCTTAGCGGCCTCCGTAGTCTAGGGGTAATGTTCCCACCTCATGACTCAAGGTATGCAGGTTCAAACCGGGCGGAGGTCGTGGAATTTTTAAGGGCAGAAAAATTCAGGGAACAAGTCCTCCGGGAGAGACTTTAAGCTGTGTGTCCCGTGTCGTAGATTTACAGCATGTAAAAGATCCTCATGTCTCTAGGAGACCTCTGAGCAAAATCAGGCAAAAGTTTCCCGCCCAAGTAGTTTCCAATTCCTCCGGTAGATGGGGAAGTATCGGGGACCACTGCCAGAGAGAGCCGACCTTGCTGGCAGAACGGGGATGATAGCAAGCACCAGTACTGGAAGGGCATGGCGACTGGTAGAATANACAGGAACTATAAAAATAGGTACATCTATATTCTATGGATAGTCAAGCTGCAATTAAAGCACTTGGTAATCACCAGGTCACTTCAAAATTGGTCTGGGACTGCCACCAATCCCTCATACAACTAACCAAACACAACAGAGTTCAGCTGATATGGGTGCCAGTCACAAGGGTATTGTTGGTATTGGCAGATCAGCTGGCAAGAACATGATCTGAACATCTGTTCATGGGACCTGAACCAGCTTGTGGCATCTCAATTGCAGATGCCAAGAAAGCGATCAGGGACTGGATGAACAGAAATCACAGAAAACATTGTGAATCCAAAACTGGACTCAAACAGGCAAATGGACTTATATCTGGGCCCTCTGCCAAAAGAATGAAGGATCTGCTGAAATTAAACAGAGACCAATTAAGATGGGTGGTAGGACTATTTACTGGACAATGCCATCTGAAAGGACACCTTTTCAAACTGGGATTGACAGATAACCCAACTTGTGAAAAGTACCTACAAGAAGATGAATCAGCCACACATATCTTATGTGATTGTTGGGACATAGCTTATTTAAGATTGTCACCTGGGTCAGTTCTTTTTGGAACCAAGTGGCTATTATGACACCCCCATAAACAAAGTCATACATTCCATTCAAAGTGTAGGATTAATAGAGGGTTAATCAAAGGGGAAACACAGTAGATCATTGAAGGTAGTGATGCTGGGCGGGATTTTATGGCCCGCCCCTTATACATACATACCAATGTTTCAGAGAATCCTGCTGTCTCCATCTTCAGGAGAGGAGTCATTTTATCACACTGTCAATAGTAGATTATGTAGCATGTGAAGATGATGGATGAATGGAGAATTGGAAAGGATTCAGAAGGAAACACTTATGTAACTGAGGTACTATCTCAGCATTTGCCTGGAGAGACCAAGGAAAACCATAAAGGCCTCAGCCAGGGTAGCTAGTGTCCTAGCCAAGATCTAAATGGAGCATGTCCTGAATACAAGCCTAGAGCAGCATTGCTATGCCATCCTGCTTGGTGGGAAGAGGAAACTGTGCAGGAAAAACATGGCACATGACAATGGAGTGGGCTCCTGTCTTGCTTTTATGATTCTTGGTACTTAACACCTTTAAAACTTCTTCAAACAGTGCCCTGCAGCTACACTTAAATGACAGTATGACCCTGCTGATGTCAACATTATCTTCTTTTTATCTTCTTTGGTGTATATCAACAAAATGCATTATTTGGTTAAAGTGGGACTAACAACACAAGAACATATTGTGATGTGCATACCCACTGCTAGGCAACGATTCGGAAAATCCATTCTTGTGGAAGCAAACACATGCAACAATAAGATATCCACTGCTAGGCAACGGATCAGTAAATACATCTCCTTAACAACAGAGGCTGCATTTCCTGTGTGGTCCATGTAAAGTGGTTATAAAGAAGGGTTCAGTTGAGAAGAGTCAGTTGCTGTCAGAAGCTGAGAGAGTTCAGTTGAAGAAGAACTCATTTGAGTCAGTTGTTGTCAAGAAATGGGTCAAGTTCTGAAGATGGAAGTCTAAGGCAACAGAAGAAATGGCAAGAAAGGAATTAGGCTGTGAGAAGAAGACTACATGTGTGATTTGACATGACAATGAAACTGCTATAAATCCACTGTCAGCATAGAATTAGTGAAGACTGAGAGCCCTTGTGTGTGCGTGTCCAACGGTGAACTGTAAAGGGTGTAGATCAGCAATAGCGCTGTATTGTCTGCAGTCCTTGAATGAATGAATAAGGTCTCAATAAATCCAATCATCCAATCTACAACCCATGTTATAAGTCATGCAACAAACCCCTATATTGTGATAATATGGCTGCCACATACTAATACTAGCACAATCTAAGAGTGAACCTCAATATTTCTCAAAGGCATGGTACAACTGTTTAGACAAGTTGGCCATCCATATATGGGATATGTTAGTCAAGAATGGATTAATTTCTCTCATTTGATACATGGGGGCAACTCCAAAACAGAGCTCCAGAAAATAGTGACTAAACTTCAGAAAAGAACATATCTTCTTGTGTATATTGAGAAAAAATTCTGAATAGGCTATTTTGTGTTAAAAAAATTTAGGTAATGCTTCCTTTCTAATAAATTATAGTTCTTGCAATATTCTGCTACCCATAGAATATGCATTCAAATTCTTTCCAAACAATACAGAGATAATCTGTGCATTAGTTATAGAAATATTCATTTGCAATATGTAGCTGACCTCGATGCCTGTATAATCATCAGTGTATTTCTAGCACGAAAGCCCCTGCTGAGATGCAACTCTATATCAGCATACTTTAACTTACCATTATACTGCTTGGTAGTCTTGAGCCACAGTTCCATTGAATAAGCTCTCCATTTTCAGAACAGGCTACTATAACATCAGGATTGATTGGATGAAGCTGAACACCTACAATTTTCCCCTTCAATTTTTCATACTCAGTAATCAGTTCGCCAGTCCTGACACCGTACGCTCGAACAACAGAACCACATACAACATACAGTATCCTAAAATGACACAATATTTGTTATATATCAATTCTTTTACACCTATTATAAACGTCAATGTGCACACTAGAATGCTATACAGATGCATGGCATAAATCTTAGTAGCGATGAAATACATTCGGAAAGACGAAGTATGCAATGAAATATATCTGCAACCTGTCGCACATATACATAACCTAGAAATATGTATTATATCATAATAAATGAGGACATACTCTGCATCTGAAGAAAATACGGGAGAACGTTCAATTACACTTCCCCCACCTCTTCTTCGCAGCAGCAATTTTTCTTCGGTACTTTTCATGATTACATTATTTACAAATCACCATGCGCAGTCACAGACACCAAACACATCAAACAGTCATTGACAAATAATTCCTTTATGGCTTGATCGGACAAGATAGCCAACCAACAGAGTTCACTGAGGAAATATCTCCTCTCAGCGAATCAGTCTCCGCCATAATACAACATAACCAATTTAATTTCCCAGCCCTCCCAACCCTGGCTATAGGCACGGATTACTAAGTACTCGTACTTTTGTGAATCCACGGAAAAGAGACAATCAGGATTGCATTACACCGTGAAGATTACTAAGTATTCTCTGGCATGATTTCGTATAGTGTAATAGATCATACCAACGTTTCGGTAGAACGTGCGCCTTTTAACTTCCACCCCAACGATAAAGGCAGTGCCTTAACTAATTTCGTCAATATATCATGAAAGATGATTTCAATGCTAAAATATAGCAGAACGGGGGGAAATTTTCTGCTTAATTACAGGGAACTACAGGTCGCATTAACATAATAATAATAATAATAATAATAATAATAATAACAACAACAATAACAATAATATTAACAAATGGTAATACTAGTAATACTACTGTAGTGGTGGTAGGAGTAGTAGCACTAGTGAGTCAGGATAGCTCAGTCGGTATAGCGACTCTTTCCCCTGCCAATTCTCATTCTACCGATTACTCCATATTCATCATCTACACGAATCTGGTACAATAGGTCAAATAGTGGCCGACGTACCAAGTGGTCTCAATCTCACCCTACCCCAAGAAACTATATGTATAAACATATTATAAGAGTATAATATAATTATAAGCAGATCATGGATAGGTACACGAAAGTATTTTTTTTTCATTCAATTCGAGGAATTAGCTCGGAGCCGATTTTTATACACTTTTTTTTTTCATTCAATAATAAAGTAATAAGAACCACTAAATATATCATGTAGCAATTAAACACTTTATAATACGGATAAAATATGTCATATTTTTCATCGCAATAGGCGATAATAAAGAAGATAATGCTTACATCCTTAACATGTAAGGCTCTGATGATAGCCCCATAGTAAGTCATATCCATCAAACGAAGCTTCTATTACATGCCATACTTGTAGGATTTTATTACTTCATTAACAATAAAAAATATAACAGCCGAAATGTCAATGTTGGTATCACGTGATGGCAGTAGTTGAATGTCAAGATCCGCTTATCCGCTTTAAGGTGCAGTGACGTATCACATGTGATATGATAGAGTAATATGAGTAGCAAGCGTAGTATCAGGCGAGTTAATAGAATATTACGCCTGTTTTTATGTGTGTTCTTTGAATTGTTCACGATTGTATAAGCAACATCCACAATAAAATAACATAAAAAGTACGAAGCAAAATGAGATATTTACTTACACCATTAAAATTTTGCACGTGTAACTTAAGGTTTCTTCTGGAGAGATGTGTAGGAAGAGTCATCGTATGTACAAAGAGTGAAGGGAAAGAGAACCTCAAAATTATGGGGACATCTTCCGTATTAAGTGTGTATTTGAAGAGAAGTTGTCATTCGACGAATGTGCAGAACATGCCACAGGATAACGACAGCACAACTGAACAAAATAGTACTGAAAATTCTGATTTCACAAGCATTACGAACAGTGATCCTGTTCTTGAAAAGAAGTTAAAAATATTGTTCCTAGAAGTTGAAGTGCTCCGACAGAGTGGGTATAGGGTACCAGATAGTGTAAAACTTGGCCAATGGAAGGAACTTCTTGAAATGGAGACTAGATCAAGAAGACGGAAATATCTATCATATCTCTTTGGAGTTGAAAAGAAGCAAGAAAATAGAAAGAAGAAGAAGGATGAAGCGAAGCAAAAGAGAGAAGATGCAATGAATACAGCACCTGAAAATACCCACATCAGATATGGACTTGGTCATAATACAATATTGATTCGTGTGTATGATAATACAATTAATCATTTTTATCATAGTAGACTTATACAGGCAATGCAGTTCAGTCAAAAGCTTGTGATAGATTGCAGTTACGATTCTCACATGACATCACGAGAAGCTCAGAATTGTGGAAAACAATTAATGCTTATGTTTTCAGATAATCGTATTCATGATAATCCATTTGACCTATATTTGTGCAATGCCAGACGTGAAAGTAATACCATTAAACAATTAGTGAAGTGTATCCCCACCATTTATGATTTAGATTTCCCAATTAACATCACAGAGAAAAGCTACCTAGATCTTTTCCCGAAGGAAAATATTGTGTATCTCACTCCCCACTGCCGAGAAGACCTGAGAGAATTTGACCATGATGCTATATACATCATTGGTGCAATGGTTGACAAAGGTAATAATGAACCCTTGTCTCTTGCCAAAGCTAAACGAGAAGGACTGAAAATGGCGAAATTACCATTGGACAGATATTTAATGTGGGGATCTGGTGGTTCCAAGTCCCTGACTCTAAACCAGATGATGCAAATTCTGTTGGATATTCGAGCAACTGGTAGTTGGGATAAAGCACTACAGCATGTACCTAGGAGGAAGATAATCACTACTCCTGAACTACAAGAACAGTGTTCGAAGAAGGTAGAGAGGCCAAAACGACAGTTACGCTACACCATTAAAGACACATCAAAGTATTGCTGACATTTATCTCTCTTTTGCATGGGAAAGAGTGAAATGGATATGATTTTATTGCCATGGATGAAAAAATCCAGTATGTAGGCAAGTATAAGTGTTGCACAAGCAAATAGAATGTTCTAAAAATAGTGACACTGTGGAATGTTGTAGCAATGCAGTGAAATCTCAATGTGATACAAGTTGGGGAACAGCTGAAGCACCCATGTTATGTAGGCTACCTGTCTGATTTAAGGTCTTAACAGCAGTGCCTGTCTTCTGGGATATGCCATATAGTCTGGTGAAAGTCGGCTGATGTTTCAAAGGAACACTGGTTGAAGAGTAAGCCAAGCAAGAAACCAGCATGAACCAGGCAACAAACATAGTCAGTCTTCTCTCTTTAGTGAACTGTCAGCTCTTAGAATAGGCACAAAGAATGTGGCCCTTGCAACTTCCTTTTTTAAATCAATTTAGTTTGTGTACCTTTAGCAACATCTGCAGCTCATCAGAGATTGAGCAGGTTGATGAATTAAATTCTGTGAATTCTCACTCAAATCATGTTACATTTACATTTATTTTCAGTTCATGGATCCAGTCATCTCCCCATAGGGCTGGATATAAAACATGTCACATATTACAAATTCATAATGACTACACATCATTCATCCTTGGTCCAATAAAATATATAATCAGGCCTCTCACAGATAGCTCAAGTTGTCAGGAGAACACACATGGGTCATGGAAAAACCACTGTCAAATTCACGCCTTGCCATTCCACACAAACTGGCAAGCCGTATCATTAAAACAGTTACATTATAAAATATTAAAATTCATAACAAAAACAGACATCATACACACCACTACACTTACAACAAGCAAGTCACAACAATGTACAATTCACGCACACAGGCCATTTATTAACTCTTTAACTTTTGAGCTCCTTGCATGCTCGACAAATTCATCAATAGAGTAAAATGCATTACTTTGCAAATAATTTCATAAAACAAACCTAAATTGCTTTTTATCATTTTTTTAAAAGTGTGATATTTGATGGAAGAGAGTTAAATAGCTTGACACCTGAATAATACACCCCTCTCTGATAGGATGATAAATTTGTTGAAGGTATGTGAAGGTGGTCATTCCTTTGGGTATCAATCACATATACAGAGTTATTGGTTTGAAACTTATCCAAATTATTAACAACAGATGTCATCAATGAAAGCAAATATACACATGGGATTGGTAGTATGTCAAGCTTTTTAAATAAATCTCTACATGTATGAGCTGGGCCCATTCCCATCATTATTGTGTTTTGTAAATTGCTTGTCTATTCAGGCTCATTTTTCAATAAAGGAACTCCAAGAACATTAGACACCACAATAAGATATTGTATCCACTTATACCATTCTGTGGACATTGACCATTTTACCTTTGCAATCCAACACAGGATGTGGAAATACATCCTTATAGATAACTCTGAATTTATATGACTTGAAGAACCAATGGCAAGCAACAGGGATTGTGATGACACCCCACATGACTCCTCACACTGTTCCTTCATTAGACTATGCTGGGACAGACGAGAGCATACTGTGTGGTGTAAATGTGGCAGTCATTCTGTACTGATGAAGATGGTTTCTGAAATATTGGATAATATTGCAAAGGTGATGTAGTTGATTGCCCAAGAATACTTCATTGTAACCTTATGTATAAACAAGGGTAAGTCAATAGGTAAGTTACAAATGGATATAGAACTTAAACAAATAAAGAGTACTGATTTGAAAAATGCTTTTCTCAACATAATCTCCCTGTACATTGAGGCACTTGTCCCATTGTTTCACAACCCCCTGAAAACCAGCAGCATAAAATTCTTTGGGCTGCTGACAGAGCCAGGCATGTTCACACAGCATGGTCTGCCTCATAATGCATGACAGGTTAGGTTTTCCCAGAGTCAGTGCACGATGGTTGCTGTGCATGCTGACCCCACAACACAAAATGCAAAGAATGGGTGTGGCATTACAGCGTCTCAATTGCTACCACGATGAACACGATATGCTAGTGTGAATTGTCACAGGTGATTAGTCTTGTGTTCACCATTACCAGCCCGAGACAAAGCGTACGCCAATGCAGTGGAAACATCCTGCATTGCCTGCCAAAAAAAAGTTTAAGGCGACACCATCCTCCAGGAAAGTGATGCTGTAGAAAGGGAAGTCACCGCCTGGTTCCGACAGCAGCCCAAAGAATTTTATGCTGCTGGTTTTCAGGGGCTTGTGAAATGATGGGACAAGTGCCTTAATGTACAGGGAGATTATGTTGAGAAATAAAAGCATTTTTCAAATCAGTACTCTATTTGTTTAAGTTCTATATCCATTTGTGACTTACTTATTGACTTATGTATTTCAAGTTACTATGAAATAAAACATGACCATCTTAGGAGACATGGGTACATCTGAATCCGCAGTATATTGAGGTCTCACCTGTACCTTTTTAAACCTTACAATCCAGTATGTGTTCTGGCACTTACAGAACAGCAATGTCTGTACATATGTTTATTTTGTTACACCAGATATATTTGTACTTTTAGCATTTGCATGATAAAATTATACAGAAATGTGGATTCACTCAGTTAATTTTATATTATGTTCCTTATTTAGAATTGACAGTTAACTGTTGCCAGATATTTTCCAGTTCTCATGTTTTGTAATGGATGCGTGATGTGTGATAACTGGGCCAGAGTGACAGATTCTGATTATTACATTATATAAACTTGTAACAGAAATGCATCTTGTATCAAAAACTGCTGTTAGGACAATTCCTAGCCAGTTCACTTGATCCCCATTTCCCATCAATTCTTTTCTTATGAGCCATCTTATATAGACATCTAAAATTCCAAGTAGCAATTTTCATGCCTTTCAAATGTGTTGTTCCAAACAATTCATCAGTTGAAACTTTTGTTATAGAATTTATAGTTAAGGGTTGTTAGCCACACAGCTAACAGAGTTCTGGAATTTATGTACCAGCACCCTTGCTTTCCATCCCTACTCTACTTACCCTGGACCACATTTAAGGAAGGTAGCTAATAAAATGTGTGCATTAATTTTTGATTTGATTCATTCTGGTCCATCACACTAGCAATTATAAATACAAACCACTGTGTCAAATGTGACATATAAGTTTTTACTACGTTAAAACTTATCTCCCTTACATGTTTCGGCCCTTATGGGCCATCTTCAGAGGGAATATCATTACAAACTGGAAAGTACCATCACAATAGGTGTTTTGATTTAAAATACATACACTTATATCCTATAATGCACAGTATGCATAAAGTCGAACGTTTCACAATCACAGCAGCTTCCTGGTGTTGAAAAGTTTTTAAAAGTTTGTAGATGTTATTTAAAAAACATTTATTGTCAATAGTTAACATTTTTTAAACCACGTAGGTTCATGTCCGTACTCCTATCGTCCTTGTATGGGGCAGATTTTGTGCTGCCTGTCTTATCTTGATGAGGAGGTTCTTGATGTCGTCCAGGGTTTGTTCGTTGCTTGAAAACGATGCAGCAAGCAACGAACAAACCCTGGACGACATCAAGAACCTCCTCATCAAGATAGACAGGCGGCACAAAATCTGCCCCATACAAGGATGATAGGAGTACGGACATGAACCTACGTGGTTTAAAAAATGTTAACTATTGACAATAAAGGTTTTTTAAATAACATCTAGAAACTTTTAAAAACTTTTCAACACCAGGAAGCTGCTGTGATTGTGAAACGTTCGACTTTATGCATACTGTGCATTATAGGATATAAGTGTATGTATTTTAAATCAAAACACCTATTGTGATGGTACTTTCCAGTTTGTAATGATGTTCCCTCTGAAGATGGCCCATAAAGGACCGAAACATGTAAGGGAGATAAGTTTTAATGTAGTAAAAACTTATATGTTTGAAGTAAACAGAATACTGATACAACTTAGCTTGTAACAAAATAATGTAAAAACCAAATATGCAAATAATAAAAACATGTTGAAGTATACTCCATTTACTATGGGAACAAGGGCGACCCATCAATGATATAGACCAGGCATGTCCAACGTCAAACAGGTTGTGATCGACTTTTTAGTGTCAAAACTCCCAGTGATCTACCACCCCCTCCTTTCGTCATACCTTGCTTTAAGCAAAAATATTGGTAAAAATGATACGACACATGATGTTTGTCGTAAAAGCAAGATACATTGAAAGTACAGACTACTTTAACACATATTTTCCCTTCAAAATTTGAATATAATCATATTATATTACAAGAGAATTTAGATGCTTTTCACGTATAATTTTCTTATACGCCTAAGAGATCAACCAAAAATTGTCCCGCGATCGACGTGTTGGGCATGCCTGATATAGACCATTGTGTCATCATTAGAAAGAACCAAAATAGCCCATCATATACTGTCATGAGGAACAAATCCCTTAGCTTGTGGGGAATATGGCAGGTGAGCAGCTGGCAGAAACAAAGAAGTGAAACAAGTTTTAGAACAAAGCCATCAGACCATGTAGAGCGAACCTACAAATTTAAAAACTCTGTAAGTAGAGGTTCGCATGATTTGAAAAACTTTTCTTATAGCAGTATTTCCAAAATATTTTCAAATAAAAAGTGATGTCAAAATCTTAAGCAGAAATATGTGTTTTACTATCCTACTCATAGACTTTAAAGGATTCTGACGATGGTATATGCTGTACAAAACTATAAGGTTTATTTTTGACTCTATCCATCATCTGGTATATATAAGACAAAAAACCACAATGTTTCGGAAACTGGATCTGTCTCCATCCTCAGGTGGATGGGGCAAGATAGACCTACTCAGTTGGGCCTGTTAGAAAGAGCTAGTCTCAATCACTGGTCCAGTGTCTTATATATACCAGACAATGGATAGAGTCCAAAATAAACCTTATAGTTCTGTATCCCACTCATGCTTGCTTCAGTTGTTTGCATGCTCTGTGAGTGCGAAGCAACTGAAGTCATGCATTCCCTTCTCCCCTGAAGCCTACAGTACACTATTGTCTTCTAAATATGCATTCACTCAGACAGCTAGCTTAAGCCTGGAGGAGTTGGCTAACAGTGCCTACGATGGGCTTGCTGGAGGGGTCATATTTATTTATTTTGTCTCTATAGATCATTGTTACATGATATAGGACAATTCAGTTACTGTACATTGGCTGATTACAATAAGAGAATAAAGTTACAATACTTAAAATTGTTTACAATAGATTACAGTATTTTACAATAGTTAAGATTTCATATAGTGTAAGGTGGAATCTATATTAGGTCCCCTCG